ACTACTTTGTCGATCATCTTGGTACTTTTCTGGACCTTGAATGTGGTAGTTACCTTGCTGTCTATGGGAGGGTCAGAGAGCCCTCAGATTTCATCAAAATATCTTAAATTGTGTTCCAAAGATGAACGAAGGTCTTCAAAATTTTTGGGTGAACTAACCCTTTAAACATCACAAGTAACCGTGAATATCACATTATTAATATTATTATTATTATCTTAACGAAATTTTATAATAAAACTAGGCTATGTACAATTTTTCCCAACATTTTAATTTGATTTCGACTGCTGAGAAGCACACAATGGAAGTACAATTTCCAACTGCAAAAATATTCATTTCACCACTTCCAAACACTTTTTCTTTCATGTTCACTGAATAAACATTGCTATAATACTTATTCCTGATAGCATCTGTGTAAGTAGACAGTGTTTGCACAGTATGGCACCACAAAACTAATTACACTGTATTTGTACTTAAACATCACACTTAGATGCACATAATGAAATTTACTGCTGTTAAAGTCCCCATGAAATCAAAATTACATTTTTTTGGGTGTTAGTATCAATATGTTAGTCTTAAGGTTATCTATAAGGCAGTGTGCTCCAAAACAGTGACAAAATTCGCATTTAGAAGAAATAAGCATTCAAAGCTTGCAGTTTGTCACTTCTGCCAAAACGGCTCAACGATTTTTTTGACGTCACATCGTACTTCATCTTCTCATCAAATCTTCTGACCAATCAAACGCTCTCTAGAATCCGAAGCGCCCACCCCCTGCACTATAAATAGGCATATATTAAAAACTTTTACAACTACACAGCCTCAGCATGATTATGACCACTATTTTGTTTTACTAAGAGTTTCATATTGAATCTAGGGGGTAATCTATTAGACTGTGGCTGTCAAATACGGCTTTACCGAGCTCAACGGCTCCCCTCTGACCCATGCAGATATAAACAAAACGCTATTGGCTAATTTAAAAAGGGGGTGGGGCTGCTCGATATGTCCCGCCCTCTCTTCCTGTTTCAGTTGAAATTACGTCACCACATAGAATAATGCTGCGTGTTTCAAGGCACTTCAGGGGAACTTTAAGGTCAAAAAGGGCCTTTTCCTACACACGCAGAAGATAGTACCCCCACTGAGGCCTGCTGTCAGAGCAATTCTCTTGCGGAAATATTCTGAATGTGTGAATGTTAGTGTCCTAAAAATATGTTCAGAAGTCATTACATAATTAAAATTGACATCTTCAGGCGTTTTTTAAGATACCGCTTCCAGCTTTCAAACGTAACTGCCACAGAAATGCATTTTGGGACAGGTAGGCTAGTCTTAGGGGAATAGTTCACCCAAAAATTAAAATTTGCTGAAAATGTATTCATCCTCAGGCCATCCAAGATGTAGAGGAGCTTGAACAGATTTGGAGAAATTTAACATTACATCACTTGCTCACCAATGGATCCTCTGCAGTGAATGGGTGCCGCCAGAATAAGCATCAAAACAGCTGATAAAAACATCACAATAATCCACAAGCAATCCACATGACTCCAGAAAAGCTGCATGTTTGTAAGAAACAAACCCACCATTAAGGCGTTTTAACTTTAAACTAGGGCTGTGCAAAAAAATAAAATGCGATTTTCATGCTCATCTCGTCAGTAAAGCCGGTTCTGTGATTAGTAGTAAATCTCCAGCACGTGCTTTCAGATGGAGCGGCATTTACTACACAGAGCCGTAGATCACTGACAAGCTACAAAAAAATCGCGTTCATAACCGGCAATGAATCGCCTGCGATTTTGAACGCGATTGAAAATCGCATTCGATTTTTTTGCACAGCCATACTTTAAAGTAAACCATAACTTCTGGCCAAAATATGTGTGCATAATTCATAATAATGATTCCTGCTAGTGTTGTCACGGTACCAAAATTTCAGTATTCGGTACCGATACCAGTGAAAATCCACGGTTCTCGGTACCAATTTCGGTACCAAAGCAAAACACAAAAACATGCTAATTGAACAACATTTTTATTAATAACGTTAAACAGAAGAGGTTGCCAGGTTTTCACAACAAAACCCGCCCAATCGCGTTTCGAGGGGTCCCCTGTTAAAAATCGCATTCCGAGGATAAAATACGTGTGTTTTGGCGGGGTTCCCCTGGTAATTCGCATTCCAGGGGCTAAATATCACGTTAATGGGGTCGTTTTTCAACCCGCGGACATGAAAAACAACCCGCGGCGACTTGGCAACACTGGAAGAGGATAACTGTCTGATAGCGCATCAAGAACCGGGTTGACCGGGTACCGGTGCTTAAGAAAACCTGGTACCGTAACGGTTTCATTTTTTTAGTACCGACTTGGTACCGAAATACCGGGTCTTTTGACAACACTACTTCCTGCAGTGAAAAAGTCCATCCCCTATTGTCGTCTCACATCAAAATCCACTGACATATTTGTTTAAAACTCCTTTTGCTTGCAAACAGTGCTTAATTTGTGCATATTTCTCTCTTGATTCAGACTAGACACCTTTTTTACTGGAGAAAGCAATATTATGAATAGAGGACGTCTCATTCTGACGGCACCCATTCACTGCAGAGGATCCATTGGTGAGCAAGTGATGTAATGCTAAATTTCTCCAAATCTGTGCTGATGAAGAAACAAACTCATCTAAATACTGGGTGGCCTGAGAGTAAATCTTCATTTTTGGCTGAACTATCCCTTTAACTGTACCAAAGCAATTTTTCTTAAAACAGGTTCTGAAAAGAAAAAATGTAAGAGGTGTTTCCCTGTGCAAACGTTTTGCTGTTGCTCAGGTTTTCAAGACAATGTCAATAAACGTCAGCTCAACTTAATCTAGACATCAACATAAAAGCCGACTGACAGTCTCATGTCAATGCCCACAGTGAAATCCATCAAAACAAGTTGCCGTTAAAAACCAGGTAAATCTCATAAATGAATAATTCTTATTGAATGTCATTTGCTCACTTAAAACACATCAAACCTCCTGAACTGGTGAAACAGACTATCTTCTGTTACCTGGAAGAGAGTTACTATTTATATCATTCACAACCACTGCTTCGTTTCACCAACCCAACGCAACCCACATCCATTCCACAAATTAACTCACATAAAGCTTCTCTTATACAAGTTCAAGAGGTATGAACATAAAGAAAGCTTACAGTAAAACAGGGTGGAAAAGTAGCCAGTGTAATCGAAGCGGGGGCAATCGACTTGAAACGAATGGCCAAGGTCAACAGCTATTCATTGATACCACAGATTAGACTCTTGATTTACACTGAACTGACGGTCTATTTACAGACCATCACACATGAGATCAAGCGCAGCCCATGAACAGGACGTTATAAAGATATATGTGGCAAATAAAACACTTCAAAACACACAGGACATTTCTGAGCCTGTTACAACATGGACGTTGTGCTAGTTATTGGTGTTTCTCCATCCTGTGAAGTCAGTTCAGTTTTAACATCAGGGAATTTTGTGTTCTGAGGCAAGCTGCGGCTAGCAATTACTGTTGCGCGCAATTACAGCTAAGGATTTGAACAAACCCTTAACCTTAGGCATTAAAATTTTTGTCACATATTAAATTTCATGCCACTGTGCACATGAATGAGATGGTATAATTAATAGCCATCAACTGAATCTGTCACAGAAAAAATGTCACTTTGTATCTGAACAGCAATAAAAAGTATTGAAAAGTATGCACTAATAATGAAAGTTGAACGGCAACTTTGAAGCGAACCAAACATATACTGACTTTGTTTGAAATGAACCAGATTACTGTCGGACTTTCTGTGGCGGGACAGAAGACTAAACGCATCAATGTTACGTTTATAAAACACTGCACACATTATCAAATTATGCAGTGCCCATAGACAGTGATATATGACGCAGAAGAGCCAGTTATTCTTCATAACTGACAATATGACAACTTAAAAACCTCTTTAATGCATTACATTCTGAACTGTGGTCTAAAAAGGCTTCATCAACTGGCACTTTTGGGACTCAACCCCAAAACCTTCTCTTTATCACCTCAGCATTTTAACCACTACACCAAACTACTCCAAAATTAAACCATTTTAAATAACTACACTAATATTCCAAATTCTAATGTAGCTTAATGGTTAAAGGCCTAGGCTGGCAATCCAAAGGTTGTAGGTTTGAACCCCATAAGGCTGATCCTATCGCCACTGTAGTGACTGTACCCTTGACAAAGACACTTAACCTCAGGTTACTCTGTAATACACTTTTAAAGAAGTACTGTGGTTGTACTATGGTAAAATGATGGTATCACACTGTAATGTCATTACATTTTAACATACAGTATCTCACAGAAGTGAGTACACCCCTTGAGGGGTGTACTTTCATGGAGCTAAATTATTATCATATTATGATAATTATTTAGTTCCATGGAAATACCTATTACCATGGTATTTAACTCGTAAATACCTATTACCATGGTATTTACACGAGATAACTAAAAAAATAACATGTTTTTTGACAGTACGTGTCAAAAACATGCTAATAGAAGAGTACCTGTTTGTATATGTACAAAAAAGTACAACTTGTTTTGATACATTTACCATGGCATTCTAATGGTATAGCCTGATCTAAAAAGCACTGACATGTAACATGGTTTGGACATAATATCATGTACTACCATGGGTTTTTAAACAGGTACCTTTGTAGTACCATGGTATTCTTGAAAGTACCTTGGAGTACAATGTCAGTACCACGGTCTACATCAAAGTACGCCTGTATTACCATTACTTTAAGACAGAAGAGCCACATTATGTTGCAGTAAGGCTTATTTGTAAATTTATAATCAAATCAAAGATTAAACACCTAATGCGTTTGTGATCGATAGATTTTAGTGTATAAATAACACAAATAAAGACGTATAACACATATGCGCGTGTTCCGCAGTGGACTGCAACGCACCAAACGCGCCCTGCTTTCATTTCGTACGCTTTTAGTAGGTAAACCAAACAAACACTAACCTGATTAAAGATTTAAGGTGGTGATATGAATGTTAAACGCTGTAGAAAAGCCGATGTTTGCGCTGTGATCGGCGTCGGTGTGGTTCCAGGCACCTGACAACGGTCGGTGTGTTTCGTTTCGCTGTCTGATCACATTGAACACAAAGAGCGTCGAGACGCACAGGAGACCTCAGGGAGCGTGGCGATTTTACCTATGTGATTGAAAAGCGTAAGCGTGTGCGTGTGTGTGTGTGTTTAATTAGTTAAATTATTTTATCAATTGATACAAATAACATAACTAATCTTAATCTTACTAAATGTTTTGGACGCCAAAACTAAATGAGAAATGTTTTAAAGGGGTCATATGATGTTGTTAAAAATATGATAAAGAATATCTCTTTGGATTTGAGACTTTAGTCTTTGCAACTTTACAGATCTTTTTTATGCACCAAGAGCTTGTAACACTCCAAAGAGAAAGGAAAAATCAAGTGACTGAGAAAATGCCTCAAAATGATAAATTCACAATAATAAAAGTGTTACTCAGGCGAATTTTTAACACTATATCGATTGTGTCATGAACCGTTCCTAAGCTTACATTAGAAAAGTGGCTGATTTGTGAATGAAAGATTCATTTGAGTCTAATCTCTGCAACGAATAACTCTTTAAAAGTGAATTAACCCGTGTTGTCGAGTTCAACTCACTAGTCCGGTTTCAAGTTCAACGGTCAACCGCCCACTTGAGGGGAAGATTATCAGAGAATATGACGTAGGCCTAGATATCGGTCTGTTCCTCACACAAAGCTATCGTATGACTTTTGAAAACTTGAAATATAGCTATAAGGACTGCTTTTATGTTGGTTTTGTGGACGTGACATCTTCAGTCACCATTCATTGTCGTTAAAAGACATTCTACAGAATTTGTCCTTTTGAAAGAAAGTCATACGGACCTGTAACTATGTATGGGTGAGTAAACCTTAACAGAATGATTTTGAGGTGAACTATCCATTTAATGTTGATTTTGACAGATTTTGGGGTAGATTACGAAGTGTTGGCGTATTCTGCCATCTATTGGACTTTAAATGAACTTGCAGTTCAAAAGCTGATTTGGTTTGTCCTTTAAATATGACGATTAAAGTCAATCTTGTGAAACCAATAAAACATAACAGAGCAAAATTCGCTTTAAAAGTAGCTATAACACCATACCGGCTGATTTCTGAAGGGATTTGTTAACATTCATAACTCATACCAAAACCACAAGGAACTTTCTTCAGTGGAATGTCACGTCTTGGTTGAACTCAATGAGTAAACTATTAATGAATATGTACTTTGGAATCTGTTTAGGACTGAATTTTGGGCTTAAAATGACGCCAGTTTGAACGTATATTCATGCTTTGACAGAAAATTCAAGCTGAAGTGCTGCTCCTTTGAGAAAAATTCAACTGAACAGAAGTGCTTTTGAAAAAAAAAATCTATTCAAAAAGAACATTGATAGGCTACTATGAAAAGTACGTAATGGTCCAAGAATTCAATCTTTTCTTCACAAATACAGTGGATCTCATTCTTGTTTCTTTTCCTGCAGAGTGAGAAAATCAGCATCGAAATAAAAAAATTAAAAAACATGAAAATGCTGCTCTTTTGTAGTTCAGGTGTAATGGAGATTTCATGTAAGTATCCACTTCATTTTAGATGTTTCTCCGAAAATTTCTTTGGGGAACAAAATTAGATTAAATCAGTTATTAGTAGTTCATAGTGAGATCTCTGACTTTTGGTTGTAGACTCTAGTACCTAATAAGTAACAAAGCATGAGATCTTTCTGAAACTACAGAACTCTACAAAAATGTATAATAATAATAAAAAACCTATTCAAAAAGAACATTGATACAAGTACTTAATGGTCCAAAAATTCAGTCTTTTCTTCACAATACATAGTGGATATCCAATGTTCCTTGATGAATGTCATAAGACAAGGACAAAATTTACAGACTGTAGAAATAAAAGACATTTGCTGAAAAATCACTGAAGGAAACTAAGCTCTCATTCTTTCTCTCTATTCATCAAATTCTATTCCTCTCTCACTTCCTTTCAGCATGAAGAAACACTCTTATATATTAATCTCCCTCCTACTCTTAACAGGTAACCGTCTTGACAAGTTCTGCGAAAGCATAATTACACATTTCACAGGAAATTACAACCCCATTTACGGACATCCCATCATTCTGTGCGCAGTGTGCTTAGAGGGCGTCTCAGAACAGATCCTTAACATGAATCCATTACTTGAACAAATTTGCACAAAGCTGTATGTCTTCTTTTTTCATGTATGTTACAATCAGATATGCAAAACATGGAAATGCCTTTAATCTCTGAAACTCTGAAATTCTCCTCCTGTATATTTGGTAGTTTCTGATCAGTGTGCATGTCTTCAAAGTGTGCCTGTGCATTTCAGATAAGCTTCCTGCGCTGTTTACAGTAAAGGACTGAAGGAACTGGGCCATTTTTGGTGGGTTTGTTGCTATGGAAATGGACAGTGAGCACTTGGGTGATTCTAAGTCAAGCAGATTGTGCACACTTGCACCTTTGCATGGTAAGAGATCTCATAAAATGCTAATAAAATTTTCCTGTGGGTCATCTTAAAGTTTGAATATCTTCAGTTTTTCCTAAATGTAAACCAGTTCTATTTAATTTAATAGATTATTCACATTTGAGGGCTAAAATTACATTGAAGTCAATCTCTCCTCCCAGGCTTTCTCTTGGCACACTGAACACCACTGAGGAGCATTTTATTGCTCATAGGTTGCTGTTTTAGTGCTCAGGAGACTTAAAGAAGTTCTCTGTAAGTATCAGCTTTGTTTTATGCATTAAAGTCCTCAGGAAAAATAAAATTGTTGACGTACAGTATGAGTGGAGAGCTTTAAAATTGACATGGACAACAGCTCAGATGATTCACTCTTGGAAGAACTTCATGCAATTTTTGAGAAGCAACTGAGATATTAAAGATACCTCATTCATGTTTTGTTCCCCACAAGAGTGTGAAAATCAGCACCGAATTAGGAATAAAGAATGAAAACGTTATTGGTCAGAAGCTGCTCTTTTGTAGCTCAGGAGATATAATTGAGATCTCATTTAAGTATCCACTTCATTTTGAGATGTTTCTTCTGAAAATCCTTTTTGGAGAAACAAAAATAGATCAAATCAGTTTTATGAGTTCATAGTGAGATCTCTCACTTTTGACTGCAGACATTGGTACTTTGACAAGTCTGAGCACAGTTTGAGATTTTTCTGAAACACTAGAGGTGGGTTTTCTTAGAAGAAACATCTAAGACGCATGAAAGTTATGTGGAGTTCTCAGTTTTCTCTCCGTTTAATCTCATTTCAATCTATGAGAAGCAACTGAGATATTAAAGAGATCATTCATGTTTTTGTTCCCTGCTGAGTGAGAAAATCAGCATCAAATTAGGAATAAAACAGAAAATGTTATTGCTCAGAAGCTGCTCTTTTGTAGCTTATGAGATATCCATTTTGTTTTAGATGTTTCTACTAAAATTCCTTTGGAGAAATAGAAATAGATCACATTAATTGATGGGAAATGTGTTCATGAGTTCCTAGCGAGATCTCTGACTTTTGGTTGCAGACTTTGGTACCTTGACAAATCTTGAGATTTTTCTGACACTCTATAGGTGTTATTCTTAAGAGAAACATCCAAGAAGCAGAAAACTTACACTAAATTCTCTATTTGCCCTACATTGAATCTCCTTGCAGTTGAAAAGCAACAACGGAAATGTTAAAGAGATCTCATTCTTGTTTCTTTTCCTGCAGAGTGAGAATATCAGCATCAAATTAATAATTTAAAAAAACATGAAAATGCTGCTCTTTTGTAGTTCAGGTGTAATGGAGATTTCATGTAAGTATCCAGTTCATTTTAGATGTTTCTCCTAAAATTTCTTTAAGAAACAAAATGAGATTAAATCAGTTATTAGTAGTTCATAGTGAGATCTCTGACTTTTGATTGCAGACTCTGGTACCTTGACAAATCTGAGCACACTTTGAGATCTTTCTGAAATTCTACAGGTGTTATTTTTAGAAGAAACATCTAAGAAGCATGAGACTGTCCATGTGCTCATCATTTAATCTCCTTGTAGTTGAAGAGCAACACCTGAGATATTATATAGACGTCATTTGTGATTTTTCATTTCTGTGGGGTTGCAAACACAACCCTGAATATTTATTAAGTAACCCCAAAAAAGTAATAAAGCAAGTCCAGCGTGAAGTTGAAAATTCGACTCAGATCTTTAGAAACAGTTTTTGCTGGTTACCATAACAACACTTTTGTGAAGATCACTGAAGGGGAAAAATATATTCAGGTACCGTCTCATGCAAACATTTCAGAAACTATTTCAAAAAATGAATCATTCACTTGACATACTCCATTGTTGACGCTTTGCAATTTTCATATGAATGTTATTTCACTTCACACATTTCTGTTCAGTTTCTGGTTTAATATGAAAGGATTCTTACACATCCTTTCCCTAGTGGAAGCAAAAGGTTATTGAGTGCAGGGATGTGTTCCCACACACATGCAGGCACACATTTTCATCAACATACATTTCCTTTTACAAATACAAATTGCCTTATTAAAGTGGTTCCGTTTCTCTCTCTCTCTTTTTGGCTCACAAGTGGCAGTACACTAACAAGGAATTTTGCTACTATTTTTGCAGTGTGTAACTTACACAGCAATGTTTTGGCTAGAAAATATTTAGCGTTGCATACTGCACACTATTTTACAGACTATATAAAAATACTATATTACAATACTATTTTAGTAAAAATATAAAAAAATACAATTAAAACATAAAAATACTGTTTTTAATTGAAAATATAAAAATACAATTGACAAATATATATTAAAACAAATATATATAAAAACATGACAAATAAAATTTTAATGAAAATATAAATAAATAAAAATTTTAATAAACATTAAAAAACTTAAATATGTTTAATAATAAAATTAAAATATAGTTTTGAATTAAATATGAAAACAGAAAATAACGTTTTAATGAAAAAATACAATTAAAAATGTTTTTAAAATAAAAATAACTAACAAAACACTAACAAAATAAAAAACTTTTAATAAAAGAGATTAAAATACAATTTACAAAATGTAAAAATACATTTTTAAATAAATATATTTGTACAAATTATTTTCATTAAAAAAAGGGTATACATTGTATAGTGCATATTTCAGATGTGGCCCTTTATTCAGCGGTGTCTGGCATGTTTCAGCATTTGTCCCTTACATGCAGCGGTCCAGCACTAATCTGAGAAGGATGTACGACCCAAATGAGCACGATTCAAATAAAACAAAGACAACATGGTGCTCTGCCCAGAATGCAGAGGAAGGTGCAAAATTCCAGCACAAGAGTCCAACAGAAAAGAGGATTTAAACAGAGACAGGCGAGGGAGACAGAGAGAGGGGAACTTTTTGAAGCTGTCATATTTTGAAAGTGGTCTGATAAGGCTCTTCACACACCGCCAAAAACCAGCTGCCTTCGGGGCAGAGTTCTCCTTCTTACAAGACGGATTTGAAGGGGGAAAAATTCTGATGATGAATATGAAACCACATGAAGGACAAGATGAAAGAGGAGAACATAATAGAACGAAGGGCTTGAATTGAACGGAATAGAAATAATTCTGGTGAGGGTAGTTTTGTCTTGAACAGATAGAATAACCTCAGTGTTGCGAGGCGAAGAGAAGAGAAGATGTGTGTTTGAGACAGATAATCAAGGTGGTTCGAGTTAAATTATTGTCCAAATCAGTGAAATTGCTCTGAAATTGCTGTATATTCTCTCTTGTCTCTCAGACGAAGACGGATACAGAAAGAGATGCTGTTCACCTGTTTGAAACACTGAATGCACTAACACAGCTGATTTTATATAAAATATAAAATCAGTCAAACCATGCCTGAGTAAAGAATATATGTGGTCAGGTTGTGCATCTCCCTCCAAAATGAATAATAGCTCACAAACACCCCCGCTAGACATGGATCATCTAAAATGGACAGATCGAGGTGAAAAAGAAAAGGACGTTAACACAGATAGAAAGGCTTTAAAATCTAAAATGTAAAGACTTCTGTAAAAAGCTTTGAAATTAATCTCTACAGCGCAGCTGTGACTTCAGTAGCGTCGCTGTTTAGGCTAAATCAGGTCAATTCGAAGCAAAACTGCGCTATTTCTACAGCTGTGGCTTTGACTCTCTCCTTCCTTCCACTACAGGGATCCCCTGCCTAGCCTACACATTCACCCAAATCAACCGTCTGGCAAATCTACTGAACGCTTCTCCATGTTGAGGAATTTTGCGGGTGATCTTTTGGTAACGCGTCAAAGCGCCGTTGGGCACCATTGTCTGCGCGTGAGAATGAGAAGATTCGATGTTGTGGCGGAATATAAAACTTTACGCTCTATTTTCACCAGAAAGATAAAGTTTTCGAATTGTTTGGAGAGGAACAATAATTTTCCGTGTGGAACGATCCGCTCCGTTTGTGCGTAATTGCACCGCTTTGTTTTGGTTGAGAGGATTTATTTTCTTCGTTTAACGTTAGCCGTCAGACAGCTATCCCAAAGACGTAAAACAAAATATTAAAGTAGCATTATAACATTGTAGATTTTGTAATATATATTTTTGAGTTTAAAAGTGAACTGTAGTATTGTGTTATAACAGAGCTTTATGAGATAACGATGAACTGAGATGTCAGCTTTTAGTGATAGAAGCGCTGCTCGCATTCTGTCATGCCAAACAATGCAAGCAGCAGCCCGCGCAGCCCATGCTTGCTTTTATGTTAAATGCACGCAGCAGCCCATTCTTGCTTTTCTGTTAAAAATAACAGTGGTTTGTGAATGTTGATGCTTAGCCTAAATAACAAATATTTTATTGGGAGCATTTATACTGGGATGTTGTGGATCTTAGATGTTACAGAACCATTTAATGTAAACTTCTTTGATGTGTTGAAAAAAATTCCATATAGATTACTTTTATGCGGGCTTTTGCGGGCGGGAGCGGGACAAAACCAACCCGATCTCACGAAAGTGCGTATAAATAGTACGCAAAATAAAAACGAAAACTCGTGGTATTGATATGCAAAAATGGACTTTGGCGTGTATATGCTACGCGATGGGTAGGTTTAGGGTTGTGGGGTAGATGCGTATC